CATACTATCTTTGTATGTGTATTCTAATCTGATGGGGTTAGATCTTGCTAGTTTTAATCTATACTGTCGACGTACTGAATTCATTGCTAAGGTCAACTGAAGTTTTTGCTTACTTCCAAATACCCTCCCTACGTACAAGTTTTCCTCGCTCAGCCACATTTCGTCGTCTGCATCAATTTCTCCCAATCCTGCCATATCATCAAACACAGGCTCTGCATCATCGTCTAGTAGGTTTCCCACCTCCCCCCACCCTACTATTCCTGTAAATCTGTACACTACCTCATGCTCGTTCTGTGCAATAATTGCTAAAGAATTTGCTCCCCCTTCATCTATTGTTCCACTATTTACAGCATCTCCCCTATCCATACTACTAGCATCCGAAGACTCTTAATCTGTCATCTTTTCGTCATGGCTGTCTGCGCAAATATCTCTGCTATACGTTTCAACATTGCTCTCATCCGCACGTACATCCTCATTTATGTACGTACCCGCACATTCTCATTTATGTACGTACCCGCACTTACATCCTCATTTATGTACGTACTGTATTCACCTATGCAAACCGTCGGATTTCCGCCACCCATTTACGTCAGTAGTTGAAGGTGACCTATCGGTGCATTATCTTCCTTTGTCTGACCTATTTGTCCAATGCACACCGTACCGTCCTAATTGTACGTACTAATTTGGTATAGTTTCCATATCTCCTCCCCTAACACTAGATCCGTCCATCCATTGTAATCATAATCATCTAATGATCCTTCACTCTCCTTCGAACTTCTTAAACTTAACGACCCTTCGATCTCTTCTTCCTCACCTCCATATTCCGTCTGCTCTACTACGTCCTTCCCTTTTCCTACTAATTTACGATTTTCATCTGCATCTCCACAATGCCTCTTGTGCTCAGTGTTAACCTTCTCTTGTGCGGCACGTTCCAATTCTTCCATATGGCTTATCAATACTTCATCAAATGAGGATGAATCATCATCTTCCTCGTACACTGTTGGGGTCAAAACTCCCTCTGATAGTTTTTTCCCATAAAATGGCTAAGTATGGAAACAGATAGAAATGAGATGGTGGCAAGTTCATTCTGGAGACCTAGACAACTTGATGGAAATGACACACCCCGCCTGTCGCTGGAGCTTTCTGCCGACTACTGCTGATTCCTCCGACCACTGCATTGCCGACCCCCATACCTCTGCCGACAACCATACCGCTGACGTCTCCCATTGCCGACTACTACCTCGTCGATGCCGCTATTTTGAGTGCACGACTGCTTGCCAACATCTCTACTAGGAGTACTAGGCACTAGGCCGAGAATGGTTGTGTAGCCCACTTGATCCATTACGAGCAATGGGCCGAGGACCATAGGTCCAAGATGGCGAGATGGCGAGATGGCAAGGTCAGGCCCAAGATGGTGAAGCCCATGGCAAGCGCCGATGATGAGAAATAGAAAATCTCGAGGAATACGGAAAACTTCCTTATCTCTTATTTGTTAGACCTAGCTGACTTAGACTTATATAAATACTCTTGTAATTCCTCAAAAGAGGGGATCCGCAACTTTTTGGCAAAAACACTTAGCATCAAATCAATAAAGCTTTCTTAACGCTATTTTCGTGTTTTCTGTCTTTGTTCTTGGTTGTTCTTGTGACTCTTTCCCAGAGATCTTGTTTCCCTTAAAAACCCTTGACAAATTCAATTGAGTTGGTTTCGACCTCCACAATTTGGCGCCGTCTAAGAGGAACACTAAGACTCTCTTACGCAAAAAGAATCACCTGACAGCAGATCTAGCAAGGATGACAACCAGCGACGAGGTTGAGATCCCCAGACAAGACCAACCCGGAGACAAGAACACGGAGCGGGAGAGCAGCGGTGCCAACAAGATCGGCGCCGACGACTCCGAAGCAGATAACAACAGTGCCAACAAGACCGACGCCGACGATTCTGGAGCGGATAACAACGGCACCGACAAAACTGGCACGGATAAGACGGGCTCCGAGAAGGACCGTGCCAACAACCCTGGAGCGAACCAAGCCGCCGGAACGATGGGGCCAACACCGGAGTTCATCACCCAGATGCAAGCGATGCTGGAGACGCTGATGAAGAAATTGGTAGACCAGGACGCACGGAAGGCAGCCGCGAACAACGAGCGAAGGGCCATGGCAAGCCGAGCGCGAGGAAGGGGGTCGGTCCTAACAAGGAGATCAACTGGATGCCTCGACTCAACGGTGTTGAACTTCTCAACACCAACAGGAGAACAGTGGATCTGTGGCTTACCACCAATTCATCCCTCCACCGTCGAGCTTGGCGCGATCGCAGACGCACTTGCCGCCGACAAGTCATCCCCGGTGATCAACATAGACGATAACCAGAGCGACGAGCACGTGTCTGAAGACCATCGGGAGCCTAGGGCGTGAGCCTCGGCCCGACAAACCAATACCCGCGTCGAGCGTGACCGGGACTTTGCTGACGAAGAAGAGGAGAACGTTTTCTGGGTGGAACAGTCGCAATATGACGACGAGCGCGCAACGATTATCAGGACCCACCAGGAAGCGATGGCTAGAATGCAAGTAGCAATAGAGCGGAATGCATC